AATTATTGAAGAGCAAGTATTTGTGGACCCAAGGAAATAATCTCTTTTTTAGTTTTCTATTGAAAAGTTAGTGAAAACATGTTATTTTTTCTTTTTTCCTGCGCATCGACAGTTAAATGTGAATAACGGTTCGTCACTATCGTCCAAATTGTTTGCGTTAAGTGTGAACTTTTCACTGATGCAAATTTCCTCATACAGCCGGTGACAAAACATATCAAATCTGTACTTTGAATAATGGCCGATTTCGGCTTCGACTGGCTTCACTCAGTAAATTGACGAGTTTAATTTTCACGGTAGTTTTTGAGAAGCAACCATTTTATGGGAATCGCTCATCACCGTGTTAATTCTTTATGTCGGTGTACATGATTCTCGTTGCGGAACTAAGTGGTCAGTCTTCATGATCTCTGTCTGTACACGAAAACATTACCTGTGGGAACGGTAGGTATGACACACGGGCAGTGTGAAATGGGGGCAGAACCATTTGCGTATAATGACGGAATTTCCTATACTCAAACTGAAGTTAACAGAATACTGAAAAAATTGATTTTTCTTTTTATCACGTACATTGGTATATAGAATAGGTTTTAAACAGTCATCGTCTTGATACCTGTCAGCACGGATAAATTTTGTGCGTTTTATTGTTTCATGTCCTTGTCTAAGAAGAAGTTAGTCATCAAGTACCTTTTGTGGCTGATAACCGCCACAGGTTGTTGACCAATTACATAAGACTATCGCTTATTTGTCCTTAGATTGTGTATGTAGTTCACAATACTTTGGGTTCATATGGTGCGCCAAAAAATTATGGTGCAGACATCTACAAAAAAATCATTCTTTAAATTAATTAAGGCTCCGGCACTGGTAAATTGTTCAAGACCAAACGGTTGTGCTTGAATTACACGAAACCTAGTTTTACTTTAGAACCTCATCAATATGAATAAAGAAACCGAAGTGAAAACTCGATAGATCCATTGGGTGCCTTTCTACACAAAAGTAACCTTCACCTCTATTTGTATTATGCATCTAAGTAGGACGACCAATAGAAGGATTAAATCGTGTAATATACCAATGTAGCAACCATGTTGTCTGTCACTAACTTCGGGTGGCGATGACCTTGAAATACAAATTGCCAGTTCACCATAGTGATCGCAAATTGAACCACACGATAACTATTACCACTTAATTGAATAGTGTGTTTACTCTGATAAATATTGTTTGGAGGTAACTGTGGAATTTACGGCAAGTTCGGATTGTAATTAATATTCATTTTTCTTCTTACGAATCCAAACTATTTTTCGCGTTTACGGGTAGTTATGCATGTCTCCCTAGATGGCATTCATCAGACTCTCCGGTTCTGATTGGTTGGTTGCCTTTTTGTTACCAACTTGGTCAACTTTCCTCAAGGTCATCCTCATACGGTAGATATACCCCAGCTTTGAAGCTGTCCTTTTCGATGTTTCGGTTGGCTTACATTGTTGTGTTGATTCGGTGACTATTTCGTCATTTCTTGGGAGGCCAGTCGGGATTCTGAGCGTATCCGTCCATACTATGTTCCAATCTAGTTATCGTTTCCTCCTAGATTCACTTGTGCAATAAAGGGCATATTAGTACTTTGCTTCAGTCTAAACGGTGTTGTGTAGCTAAGAATTCATTTGGAGTTGAGTAATCACGTCTGAACGATACGACATCTACATTTTTATTTGAACGAGTGGTTTGGTCTTACACTCCTTCAGTTCGTGTGCTCCTTAGTGTGAAGTATTTTCGTTCACACCATGAATCGTTTTTCCTTTCCAGATATGCCTGATCAATCCAGGCCGCGCCAATTTCTCCACCGCGGTTGCTCAAACTACTGCTTCTGGTCATGTGCATCGTCCAGATCCCACTGATTTGCCGGAATTACAGCGTTTTATGTCTGTCAGTACGAGCAACGGTGGAAAGGACGACAGTGAGATTAGTTCCACCACTGCTTGTTCCTCCACCAATCAGACCGGTGCACAACATAGACGTCGTGCACATGAGCGACAGCAGCATCGTCTGATTCGTTGGACTTGGCAGCAATCTGAGTTGGCTGATGCACTGTCCAGCTTGATACATAAATTGGCTCAGCATCACTATCCCGCTTTGGCCTTATCAACCAGCGTAACGCACAACGGTGAATTGGACGAGACGAGCGGAAAAACCTCCTTTGGTCAAGTTCAACCGGACAGCAGTAGTAATGGTAGTACGGTTAATGCTAAGTCGAGTTCCGATAGCGCTGACGTGAATACGAAACCCAATAACTCGTTTGCTTCATCCGTACATAATCCACCTGCTGACAAGCGTGCTCAGGCTGCTACTCAGTGGTATGAACTGGTTTCCATGGCACTTTTGAAAATCTTACGTCATGAGCATGCGAGATCCAATGGGGTATGTGCCAATTGATTATTCAACTTCTGTAATTCGTTTGTGTGTATTGTCCTTTGGGTATTGAACTGGCTTGCCTGTAAGAGATTTTAAGATAGCTGGACTGAGACAAACTAAGATACAGTAGATATAATAAACGTAATAAAATACAAAAAATATTTTTTCGTTTGGAATACAGACAATACAGACAGCCGGAAATTATATTTAGCACAACCAAATGCGAAATCCTGCGAGAGGGCGTTGTGTGGTAGAATTGCAAGATTGTTTCCACACTGAAATTCCTTATTCCTCACGTTCGCGTGTTGAATTTAATTTAAGCCCAAATTTGCCGCTATATATATAATATATATAAATCGAAGTGCGAGCAGAATTTTATAGCGCCCTTCCACAAATGGAGAACAAACCTACAATTCTGTTAGCCTTGTTTGTGAGATTTCTCTGCCAGTTGGGCTTTTGTGATTCCATTGTCGGTATGTGCATAGTTTAGGATGAGCCACCTATTCTTTTTGCGGCGGTCAGACCATAACCAAGCATAGCAGTATAAAGAAGTTAGCTTCAGTCTTTGTTTCCAGTTTGGGGCCTAAGGGATGAGGATTGTCGTTCATCAGGAACGCTTAGAGATATGGTCAAAAATAGCAGTCATAGGCGCGAATGCTGTATAGTCTGCCTGACGAAATCCCGTGTCCTAAGAAAACCGGCAAACTAATACGAAAATATCACGGTAGCCGGTGAAACAAACAACAAACATAACAACATTCTTTTTATCCTAATCCACTGCGATTGTTTGATCCCCAATAAGCCAACCCCCCCCCCTCTCTTCTGTTGTTACTGTTGCCTCTGCTGTTGCCATGTTTCCTCGAAAGCCATATATATATATATATATATTGTAGTACAATCCAATCAAAATACAACTTTTTCCGTTGTACCGGTCTGGTAGTTTATGTTTTATTTTTCTTTTAACCGAGCCTATTGGGTGTGGTAGAAGTCAAATCACAGATTACGATCGATGACCCTCAAAATTACTTAATCAAATACTTAAAACTGCAGTGGCACTTGTTGAAGGAATCTTCCCGCAATAAGCTATCTACCTTATTGCTGAACTATCTTGCGTAATATAGCAATCGATTCGTACGAACACTCCTTACCCTTTTTCACATCCACACCCCCAATTCAGACTACAAGTTCTTCATGCTGTTTTGCCTCGGTGGCTTTGGTCAGTCGGATTGTTGCAGACTGTCCAGCTCGTGTACTCCATTACGAACCGCTCCGAACCGAGTTGTGCTCTCGGTTGCATCAACTTTGGTCACGAGCCGGTCGACACGGTGGGACCACACCGCCGTCGGATGCCGTCTTGCACGAAGCTGCATGGATTGGCTTGTCAGACCGTTATGTGTGCATGGTGGCAATCAGCGCACTAATCAGTCATCGAGACCCGGTGGTGAGCGCATTCTTCGTACGTACTCTCACACCTCAGGTACGTTCAATCTTTGGGGTGGTAACAAATTTCTGATGTGGTTCCTAGAATTCACAATATCCCAAATCACCGAACCCTTCCCTTCACCTTCAGTTTAAGATTCATGCTACGCACCACGCTTTATTAGGGGAACGATGCCAATATCACCTGAAAAACCTTATTTGTCCCATTTCAGATATTCCGTTGGTTGCACGATCTCTCCTATATGGGTTCCGAATGTCAGTCTACTAAAGACAAATCGAATCAGACTCATTCTGCTCCGATTTCCCGGGACGATTTAACCAACACATTGCATTTGGCCATGGAGGTCTTAGAGTCCGTTATCGACCTATCTGATGCAGTTAACCGTCCAAACTTGCTTGTTATTCTGGTTCCCTTGTGGTGCAGCTTGTTATGCCCCAGTCCGCCTGCAGCCACATTGGTGCATCAATGGACACGCGCATCCCATTGTCTTCCCCGGTCGGCTGAACTGGCGTGTGGTGTGCATCTGATCGCTTTACAACACCTGGTCGCATTAGCTCCACGTTTTCCGACCGAATTCCGTTCCGTGTTCGGTGCTCTTGGCGCGGAACTTCGGACTCGTCTGGAACGTGCAATCCGCCAATCCCATGGAACATACAATGGACCAAATAAACTTGTTCCGACCGCGGTCTCTAGCACTGACTCTGCCGTACGACCTGTGATTCAACTGAAAACCGATTTTAGCGGTTTTGACAAATGAGCTGTGCCCGTCTCTGACTTATCAACCCATGTGCTCTTTCTTCCTCGGGAATCCCATAACGGACAAGCCCACCGCTATCATCATCATCATCATTAACGATGCTGCCACCGTTGTTACCGTAATCAATACCGGCTCCAACCAATCCAATCGTTCTAACATGCTTGACCTTACTTCTGACAAAATTTATTTGATTTTTGGTTGATTCATTCATCTGTTTTGTTCAGTGTTTCATGTTGTATCGATTTATTCTTACGACTTCAGCCCATACATGTGTTTCTCTATTATTCTATTGCATTTGTTTGTGTGCTTTGTTCGTTTGTCCGCTTGCGTGTGTGTCTGGTGGTGTTCTCGGCGTTTTGTTCATCACCGAATGGAAACAATTTACGAATCTCGGTTAGAAAACACATGACTTTGTGCACTTTACTGACCTCAGTCACCACCAACATCATCATTATCATCATCATCATTAATACAATTCTGGACGGGCACTGCCGGTCATCACATCCACTTATCACGCTTTTACACACGTTCGCAAATTCATCTTTTCGTTTTCTGCAGTCATTACGCTCAGATCCGGTCATCGGTATAGTAACCTCATCCCACCCAACACTCATATCATCGTCGTTAGTTCTGAAAGAGAAACTGTCGCTACATACTGTCCATTCTTGTTTTATTATCCAAACAACTCGATTGCCAATTCACCACCATACCTCGACGGAACTCTGAGGCTGGTGGTGAGATTGGCTAACCTCCTAATCTCGCCTCCCATTTCGTCTTATTTTGAGAGTTGAGTTTTTCACAAACATCCCTTTGTTTGAACAAGGGTGCGAAGTTTCTGACGAATGATCTTATCACTCCCTCCTCCCATTTTGTGGTCCGCAAATTCCCGATGCCTTCCACTTGATACGTTAGTTGTTTCCGTTTCAATGTACGTTCGTGTGTCTCCACACAGGAGCAGATCCTAATGGTTTTGTTATTCTCTATGGACTTGGCATATTTATTAACGGTCACCTACAACATCGCGATATAATTTGATGATATCTATCCTCCACACACACATATAAACATGTGCAATCTCTCTATTTCTAAAGGTCCTCCTCGCTGCCAATACTTTGAAGCATTTGACTATCGCAATTACTAGCACGCGATTTTCAACACGGATCTGTATCTGTCTGGCTCGTTTATCCTCCCCCCTCGACGATTTGCGTCTTCAGTGTTTTTTGTTTCTTTTTTCTGGTCTAACTGCCCCCTCTTGTCTGTTGTCCATTGAGCTATTTCGATATTAACGAGATCGAATAAGCCTCTCAGTTTTCTGTTGTCATTTCTCCAATTTACCGACTGCTTGTGTGACGATGCTCGCATATTTGCCTTCCTCTCCCCTAATGTGTATCCCTCTCTGCAATCTGACTGGATTCTCGCTCATCAATATGGTCAGAGCTTGATGGGCATAGGTGCTGCCTCACAGTGATTCTTGTCATTTTTTAAAAAGGTTTTCACATC